ACTGTTCATTACTCTAGGAAGGGAGCTAAATGTTCTTAGCACTATCTGGATAGTTTGCTCCCAGAGTACCTTCAGCATAGGAGTTTCCCCCTTTCTATTTTATGGCCAGGGGAAAATGCTTGGTGTCTACAGTGCCGTCTCCATATGCCCACATGGAGAATTTCCCTCCATAAAAGAGAACTAGAAGCCTTTGCATGCATGGGGCTTTGAGCACTACATGCTAGCAACTAGTAGCATATGTTATTCACAATCCCAACAAATAGAGAAGTGGGTCTGTCTGCAACCCTTCATGGAGTACCAGATCCCAGACGGAGGCAAGCTGTGCCTGTGGGGGAATTGGAAGTGCAGTAGCTGGCAAGCCTTCCTAGCTTCCTGACAGAAACTTTGCCAGCTATCTAGTAACAGCATGACAGAAATGTGTGCTGAGGGCATTGTGGATGAACCGCAGATGTGCCCTTAGCATTACTGAAGTCTTCCCAAGTGAACTATAGAAAAGCATCTTTGGGAACGTAAACAGTTTAGGCTGCTTAGCCTTGCGATGTGCACTATGTGTAAAATAATTGCCAGAGCAACGGTGTCTACGCTGGCTGCCTTAAGAGATTGCTGCATGGGCAGGAAAACCTATAGCTTAGAACTCATTTCACTTGAATGGGAAGTGCAGAATTTCTAGTTGGCAGCAAAATGCCAAGAGCTTTGTTATCCATTTATTCCTCACTTTGTATGAGCATTCGTTTTGTGGACAAATGAAGGGGAGGGGGAATCAAGCAAACTATTCAGATTAATGTTCAGCCTCTTCTCAATGCATAGTTACTGTTAACGCATGGATCACTAAGGCATAATTCTAATTGCTGTGGAAGTCTGTTCCAAAATCTCTACCATGAGTGAGACATTGCGCTCTGTGTTAGGAGTGAAAGGAACTGTCAGCGGGGGGGGGGGGGGGGAGAGAGCAACCAACCAGCGAAGCCATGCCATTGTTTGTGACTAGTATAAGAAGCTAGGTAAATTTACAATGCCTTGCGTTCAGCAACATGGAAATGGCACAGAAGAGAATGCCTAGCAGGGGTTAAGTTCTTATGCCTGCACTGCAGCCTACTTCTGTCAACACTGAGCTTAGGAAACAAACATTTATGCTTTGTGAAATGAAAGTGTATTTTTGAAGACTAGCCGTCAGATATTTTTTGCCCTTCACACTTTCAAATGCTTAGCCTTTTTTGTAAGTTGACTGCAAAGTGCATCAGTTTGCCAGGGAAAAAAAAAAGTCGGGGGGGGAGGGGGAGGGAAAGTCTTGACAAGTGCCCATGGCGTCATTGTCAAGTACATGAGCTTCAAGTAGAAGATGGCAGGAGGGTTGGCACAGAACATGCTTCCTTCAAGCCTATTACCTCGGGGGTACCTGACTCTTGAGAAGCTTTTCAATCCTTCCAACTGACGTTATTCCCAACTGTCCTCTGGTTTATTTGGAGCACACTGTCTCGCAGATAAACATGCTGTTTAACTGCAGGTCAAGGGACGGAGTCATTCTGCTAGCAAAATGCCTGGCATACATTAAATGGCACTGACATGCAGAGGGATGCGTAGAGAGATCAAAGTTGTCACCAGTATGCCTTGGAATGGAGGATGCTGGAGGGGGAAAAAACAAACGCACAAAAGTGTATTGGAGTGTGTGTGTGTGTGTGTTTTAAGCCATAATATAGTTGAGCATTTAAAAGTATGACCTCCCAAATGCCAGGGATCAGGGTTCCACGTAATACAGAACACAAAAGTTTAGGCACCCACTTGGCAGGGCAGCAGCTTCCAGATCTGGGGCAAGGAGATGGAAAACATTAAATAGCCAGCACCACAGGAAATACAGTTATATAGAAAGCCTGGGGTTTCAAAGTTTTGCCCTTGTATATAAAAAGAAGTAACAAAATATGAGAATGTAGATGTTGCCCCCTCCCCAATCCTTGCCCAGCATGGTCAGTTCTAGTGATTTATTATTATGTCTAATTTCTTCAAGAAAGCATATTCAGTTTTTTGATAACTAGGTTTGGTTATAAATGCAGGCATTATTATTTGCATTCAGATCTGTGTACACTCTATGGGAGTACCTGGCTTACCAGAAATATGTTAACAATTTTTCTCGAACTGAGAAAAGCTTCTCAAGAGTCACTTGCAAACTAGACATCAGATACTGTGACCCTATTATAATGTGTTCATTGCTTAATGGAAAATTAATAAAATTGTTCATAAAAAATACTGTGAGTGTTACCAAATTACACTGTTACAAAATTATTGTTTTACTTGTCCCAATAATCTACTGCCTGTCTCCCTTCAGTGTTTTGTTGATGGCTACGCTGAATGTACAGGGCAAAATAAGTATATTGAGAATTCTGCCTTTTGTCCTTTGCTGTGTATGGAATGGATATGGAGCGATATTTTATGAAGATAGTTTTCAGAAGAATCCTCTAAAGAAAGGATGGTAGCTACTGCTGCCCCCCCCCCCAGCTGAATTTGAAGTTTGTTATTTATGTGCCCTATTCCTACTTAGGTACAAATAAGAGTTGGGGGGGGGGGGGAGCTATCTTGTAAAATCTGTGGAACCTAAAGTATTGTGGAGAACACAGGAAGAAATATCCCTTATAAAGTATGCATCCCTTATATGGTGCCCTGGTTTGGAATGTTTTTCTTCATTGTCTCCTACTGTCATTGTATTACCACACTGTAATTTAAAGGGGGGGGGGGTTACATAAAAGGTACGTGAATAAAAGGAGGAAGTTAGGAACCTTCTGGGACAAAAAATAGAAACAAAATTATTGCAAATTAAACTTCTTTTGTGATCAAGAGGCATTTTATTGCCTTTTGCTTAATTAGACACCTCAGAAGTGTGGGAAACATTGTTATAGTTAAAAATTGTTACTTTGTAAATCGTAGGGACAAAGGGGCTGTGCTGCAACTTTAAAGTTTCCATGCACGTAAATGTCAATAGAGTGCCTTCTCCATCATCAGCACTAAATTCACATTGATGCCTCTTTTCTTCTCTGTATTGATCCTTCCATGAGAACGTAGATTTGTATCTGTTAATTAATGCGTCCTGAAACAGCGTTTGTATTAATCAGGCAGATAAGAAAAATTGGATGCCTGCACCCTCATGACAACCGTAAAAGTGCTGGCCCTGATAAAAATCGTGGATGGACCTCAATAAAAAAGTTCCTCCTTCCACTCAATAAACTAATCATCCTCCTTTTAATTATTCGGCAGAAAGATGTGTGGAGATTGGAGAATGTGTAAATCTATTTACTAACAGCAGTGTCTGGGAGGGAGGGAAACTGGGGCCGTCACAGGACACTGCTGCAGGCTACATTCTCTGCCCATCTGCTCTAGCAGGAAAAAAACTGGTTCTTGAGAGAGGAAAAGGACAGAAATCCTGGAGCTAATTGAAAATATGCATTCCTCTTTAGACCCTTTCAAATTATTATTTCTGTTCCATTTCCTTCCATTTCCAATGAGGGCTATTAAATTACCCACTGTCATCTTTTTGAGAGGCTTTTTTTTAAACTTTGTGAAAATTGTGTTAGTCTTGTTTTGAGCCAATTAAAATATCCACCTCCAGGGCACAAAAGCACTCTCTTAAAATAATAAAGGAATGACCCCCCCCCCCAAAAAAAAGTTGAGGCATGTAAGCATTTCTCTTTAAATTTTGTTTGATTTTAGTAGGTTTGAATCTAAGTAGTATGATGGTTTGAATCTAACTTGATGCCTAAGGTGGTGATGCCTCCCCCCCCCCAATTCCTTTTGTTTTTCCATTTCACATTATTCTGTTCTAAGGCTGGGGCCTTCAAAAGAGGAGGGAAATTTATTTAAAACTAAAGGAGCAGCTAAAGCAGACTGTTCTTCCTGCAGGATCCTTGTCAAAGGCTCATGTAAGCAGCTCCATAAACAACTAACTGAAAGCTTTGAGCCATGTCTTTAAGACCCCCTTAAGAAAAGCTTGACTAATCCCCTTTGATGATTTTATTAAGTACTTGTGGTGGCTGGTGCCAATTGGCAAACCACAACATTTCACCAAGAGGCCAGGAAATCCTTGCTTCTTCTCACAGTGTTCTGTGGTGTCTTACATGATTGGGGGATATTAGCAGTTGGAGATAATAAATTAACAGCTACTGTAAACAGGAGCCTGAAAAGGTATGACAGTGAAAATATTTGCCCTTTGTGATCCTATTAGGAAGGAAGGGGAGGGGAACAAAAGCAAAACTTAAATTCATTAAGAAGCATTATTAAATTTTCACTCTCTCCCTCTTTTTTCTCTCTCAAAAATGATGGTGTGATTACTATTCACTTGGCACTTTAATGTGCCATCCTGTTATTTCAGCAACGGTAGTACACGCAGAAGCCATTACAGAAGTAATTAGTGTCTTTTCTGAAGAGGGTAGGTCTTGCTTCAGTTTCTGCTGAGGTTGAAGTTCAAAAAGCACTTTGCTTGTTGTGATCATCACCTTAATTCTATTAAGGTACTGACTCTTCTCCTGCAGAAATATTTTCATTCTTCTTTCTTTCAAAATCTTACTACCACCACCACCATTTCCGAAATAGAATCTGACAGCACTGATATTATTATTATCATCATCATCATCACCATCATCATTATCATCATCATCATCATCATCATTATTATTATTATTATTTTGTCAAACTGCAACTTCAAAGCCATTGGGTCAACATTATTTCAGTATCTTTCTAGATGCCATAATACATATTTCTCCATTCCTGATAAGACAAAATGTGGGTCCTTTTATGTTGCTATCAAGCCCTCTTCCCCCCCCCTTAAAATAGCACCAAAGATTAACTGTATTTGATTAAAAAATTGTGATTATTTGGGGTTCAAGAAGAGTGCACTGCACACATACAGATTTATAACTTACATAATGGCAACAAGCAGAAAAGAAACATTATAATGCAGAATTCTGATGATCCTGGACCATTTTAATTATTTTTTCTGTGTACTTTTCCTCCCGGTTTAGGATTTTCCACTTTATCGCTTGCTGACCAGATGAGCCTTCTGCAGAGCGCTTGGATGGAGATTTTGATTCTGGGAGTTGTGTACAGATCACTTTCTTTTGAGGATGAGCTTGTCTATGCTGAAGATTATATTATGGATGAAGATCAGTCCAAATTAGCAGGCCTTCTTGACCTCAACAATGCCATCCTGCAACTGGTAAAAAAATACAAGAGCATGAAGCTGGAGAAGGAAGAGTTTGTCACCCTCAAAGCTATCGCGCTTGCTAATTCAGGTTGGCAGATTGGCATGATGGCTCATGTCATTTCCCCCCCTTTCCCCTAATACCTTCTGCATGACGATTTCTAAACAAGACATTAGGAATAAGTAATTTTTAATCGTATTACTGCAGGATGATTCTGAATGGCGAGTTGCAAGGTAGTTCAAATTAAGGGAAGATCTTTATGGTTATAACCATTTGCTGCACAGGTTTCTAATTTGGTTAAAAGATGCCAGGAATTTGGACTGTATTAAAAGCAATGATGCTTTTCAATAAACATAAATGTTACTCTGCTAAATCCATTTCATAATCCAGATAAGTCTAATCAGTTCACTAAACCCCAATAGAATGGATGGGACCATGACTAAACGTAATATATGATCTGCTTCAATCCAGCTACTAAACATAGTGAACTCAATAAGTAAGGTGAACTCAGGTTTTATCAGGGAAAGGAGCATATCACTGTTTAATCTTATGGGGTCTCTTCTTCACCATACAAGTTTTGATTTTTATGGTTGATGTTTAACTGATAGGTATTACTTGTTTGGAAAGAGTTAAGAAATCCAGAAAGGATTCTTCTCTGCATTTGAACTTAAAAGTGCTGAAGCAGTGAGCTAGTGTCTGATAAGTAAAAATCGTTTGTTCTTTGTTGTTTTTTCTTTTGTGCCTCCCTAATGCTTTATTGTGGTCTTAAGTCCCTTTTAGCATTTGCATAAAGTTCATGATAGATCCCTCTTTAATGACGTGCTGATCATTAGATACCTGTGTGTCAATAACATGCTCTGATGCTATGTACCATTGACAGTCACACCGTGCCCCTCCATCTGCTTTTGTTTTGACCCTATCTTTGAACTTTATCTTGGTTGCTGGCCAGTAGTTTTCCCTTTAATTACAAGAAGGAAACTGTCAATAAAATCTGTTAAATGGGATGCAATGAGTGGCTTGAATGGGTGGACGGCTATTTGTTCAAATTCTGCAGCATTCAAGGTATTGACAGTTTGTTTTCTGGGGCCATATGTGACGATCAATCTCAGGCTGGGCTCAGCCGCGCTGAAAAATGAAAAACCAGATTGCTTTTGCTTACTTGTGGATGACGACTTGTGATTTGGCGCGGTCCTAGTGAGATGAGACCTTCTGCCCAAATTGCCCCCCCGAGAGCCAGGGCGCGTGACTGTTTTTAGAAATAATTTTTTAATTGATTTTGTAATTAACAGTTCATCTACAATATTGATGCATGAATCCTCAGATTGATAGGAGGAAAATTGTTTTCAACAATGAAGTTGTACTTTCCTATTTGTCTTCATAATGGGATCTAGCATTTTACATTTTTAATTGAGGCTTTAATTCTTTCCCAAAAATGCAAAACAAAACATCACTTTTAATAAATATAAATTTAATCCCCTACTGAAGTCGACAGATGCAGGTTTTGTTGTAATACATAGTATACTACTGATGGTCATTGCAAATTCTTATTTAGTGTGCAAGATAATTTTATTTGCAACAAGGATAATTTTGCTTTAAGCAAGATAATATATAATTGACCAACATATTATGTCCCTATTATTGTCACAATCTTTTAACGTTACTGATAAAGTGAGATACCTACAAAGCTAGAAATCAGGTATGCATTATATAAAACCATTCTTTTAAAAACATTTTCTAAAGCAGCTTACATCTGCATATTTGGAGGTGATAGAGACATTATTTCAGTCTGACCTGCAGAGATTTAATATGACATTCATTGAAATTATCAGCTTAGCATAAACATCTGGCTTGATTCAATAATAATTAATGCTCTTTTGTGCTCTAAATCGGTGGACTGATTTAATGGTAACTTTAGTGCCTCCCTCCTTCCTCGTTCTACCCATGCATAAACATACAGGACTTGCCTACATTAACATGGGCAGGGTACCACTGGTACTATAACTCCAGTCCATCCAGTCTTTGAAACGAAGAGCTGATAGGTTTCTACAAAGCAGTAAAGCTGCTCAGATGTAGATAAAAAGATTCAGATGTATTCTCATGAAATCTTCGATCCCCAACCCCATGCCTTTTCAGGCAACTCCTACTCAGTTGAAAAGTCAGGAAAAAGTAATGCCCAGGAGAGGCAAGATGCAGCTCCCCTTCCATGGCTTTTGAAACACTATAGAAATCAGTCTGCATGGCTACTGTGCCATGTTTTCCAAAGCCCATTACTTCTAAGCACAGGGGAAGGCATTCTTAGCAATCCTTGGATCCAAAATCATAGCAACACCCTTCTTTGCTTCTTGGCAAATAGATGACTAAAGAAGAATCATAGCAATACCTGAGCCCCCCCCCCTCCCTCCACCTGCCTTTGCTCAGGCTGTCAGAGGGAGGGGGGCAGAACCAGGCAACCCCCCCATCATGCCCAGACTCAGCTCAGTTCACAAGAATGCTCTCATTTTCTCTTTCATGTCAGTTCTTATGCTTTGTTTTATATACTTATGTGAGTGCTTTGGGCCCTGACCTGGATGGCCCAGGCTAGAATGGTCTCCCTCTGCTCTTGGAAACTAAGCAGGGTCCGACCATGGTTAGTACTTGGATGGGAGACCACCAACAATGTTGAAGGTTCTAATGCAGAGGCAGGGAATGGCAAGCCACCTCTGAATGTCTCTTGCCTTGAAAACCCTACAGGGCCGCCATAAATTGGCTGTGACTTGACAGTACTTTCCACTACCACTGAATTGCTTTGGAAACATTTGAGCGAAAAGTTAAGTAGTATATGAACAAACACAGACAGAAGTAATCAATAGTAAACCACCATTGTTGCTAACTCCTATTGTTGCTAACTCCTTTTGCCCTTAGTAAGCCACTTTCAAAAATGACCAATCCTGAGCCCAAAAATATTGGTGGTGAAATTTGGCTGTATAATATAGGATCCTTGGTCTGGTATTCTGGAGGAAAAATTACCTGCAAACATAGGAAGCAATTTTGCACCAATGAGTTTTTTATTTACTCTCAAAGAGTAATGCAGGCAACTGAATTGTTGGCATCTTAACAAACAGTGTTGGGTACATTTCTAAGTGCTCCTGGGTATTGATTGGGAAATGCCAGATGGAAGGATGCATGTGTACTGGCTTAAAAAAAACCCCACTTTGCATCCCCAATCAGTTCAAGTGTCTGAGAATCTCAAATTCTTTTTGTGCCCTTGATCTCCTGAATGGAACCCTTTAAAATCTAGTTGTAACTCCAAAATGGAGAACATTTCTATGGAAACAATGCCTAAGAAAGCTGACAAGTTTAAAAAGCATTAAACTGGCAGGTTGAAAGTGATCTAAAGGGAAGAAAAAATATTAACCTAAAGGCTCAGTCATTCCAAATGGATTGTGGAAGGCACACTGAAAAAGACAACAGAGGCAGAGAGTTACAAGACTGGTTAGTGTAAGGAGGCAGGCTCTGGGGGTAATGAGGCAAGAAACAGCAGCTTGGTCTCTTGAGACCTTGCTCAGGCCCAGGAGCCACGACAGAGGTTGAGGTTGCACATGGACAATGATTCCTTGTGTCTCCTTACAACCACTGAATCAGCAAGCAACTGTACTGATCACTTGAATTAGTGACAGCCAAGTGCCATGTACAGCAGGGCTATACAGCTGCTGCTGCTGCTTCTGGTGAGCTGTCAGAGTGGTAAAAAGCTTAAGGTGCTGCCAAAGTTTGTGGGTCAGGACAACCAAGAGTATGAGGCAGAAAAGTGGATGAAACTATCCTCTCGGCTACACTGACAGAAACCTTACTGAGAGGAGAAGGTGCAATGTCACACCATCCTCCTTGCAGATTGCAGCTTATAGTCCAGTCAGTGCCACATGGATTTTTAGAAGGACTTTCCAGCCCATTAGTGCCATTTTAGGGTTGCCAAACTCCAGGTGGGGGCCTAGAGATCTTCTGCTATTACAACTGATCTCCACCCCAAAAATCTCCAGGTATTTCCCAACCCAGAGCTGGCAACCCTAGTCCATTTTGTGGGCCAGAGAGGACTGATATGGGTAGGGGAAGGTACAGATACATCTACTTCCAGTTTGCAGGATCTAGTTCATAGGAGCCTTTTTTTTGTCTTTTCTTATCTACATTCTCTTTGTTGCTATTGAAGTAATATGTGTCGTTTCAAGAGGGGGCGGACTGTGGCACAACGGTGTGGTTGGTTCTCGGGGTGCTCCTGAGAATCGCCGACTCTCCATGCTTTTTTAGGGGATTTTCGGGGTTCCTGAATCCCACTGGACCTCTCAGAGGGAGGTCTGGAAGCAGGGGACTTGTTTCAGGCTCCCTGTGAGAGGCTGCAAGTGGTTGGCAGCCCGGAATCATCCCGAAGCAGAAGCACGGAGCTGAGCAAACATGGTAGCCATGTTTTGCACAAGCTGTGAGCACCCGCACCCACACAAGACAGTACTGAGCCTCATCATAACATCGATGAAGATAAGGTCTACATTGTGAGTACCTGTAAGCGCAACAAACAAATCTTTGATGTCCTTCTGAACTCTTTGGACTAAGCCCCTTTAAATCTCCCCAAAAGCCAAGGAACAAGGAGTGACGATTCCCCCTCCCCCCCGGTCCTCTCTCGTAAGCGGCTGTGACAAGACTGGGACATAAAAAGTTATAAAAACACTTTCAGGGCAAAAGGACTAAACTACTGTCATCTGTACATCGCAATTCCTTCTTTATGGGAAAACTATCGTTTTGAACTTAAAATATAATTCCTCTTGTTGTATTGTGTCGGATTTAAAAAGGAGCTTCACTAACATTTAACAGAGAACCTTTCCCTCAAAATGGATTACAACTATCATTAACTATGTAATATTTTTTTTTACAAGACTGTGTTTTACTTCTAAAAATTTATTGATTGCTTCCTGGACACATTAAGAGGCTGTATATTGTTTGGTCTATGCGGAAAGATGCTTGGATTTTAATATGGCTACTGAGTCTTGTGTTTTGAAATAGTGGTCAGCTCTGTGAGTCTTACCGGAAACACGAACACAGAAGTTGCTGACTTTGCTAAATAGACT